CTGTAATCCCAGCACTCGGGAGGCTGAGGCAGGAAGATTGCTAAGAGTTCAAGGCCAGCCTGAACTGCATAGTGAGACCCTGTGTTAAAAAGACAAACACACACACACACACACACACACACACACACACACAAAGAAGAGGCTCAGTATTTGCACAGAAACTTGGCACTTCCTCCGGAAGGCTGGATCACCTCTCCACGATAAGCTCCACCAATGACAACTTTGCATGCACCGTGATGTTTAGAGACAATGACAACAAGCAAAAGGCTCTGTTTCTTGAGTACGGGTGCAGCTTTGTTTTAGAATATTTCTCTCTCCGGGACTTGTTGAATTTATGCCTGCAAAATCCACAGTTGTGGAGGGCCAAGGGCACTGTGAATACTCCCACCTCCCAGAGGAGGAAACTGAGGCCCCGTGGCTTCCAGAGTGTGCCCCGGCTCAGGGAGGCAGGGGACAGTGTGGCCTGTCCACAGTCTGAACTTTTTTTTTCCCCCAGTACTGGGGCTTGAACCCAGAGCCTTCACACTGAGCTACAACCTCTACCCTTTTTAAATATTTTTATGTTGATACATAGCCTTGCTCAGTTGCTATGTTCCCAGCTGGGCCAGAACTTGCGATCCTCCTGCCTCTGCCTCCCAGAGTGCTGGGGTTACAGGTGTGCATCACTGCCCAGCGGAGCCAGCCAGACCTCACTCACATGTGGCTACAGGGCTTATAGCACCTCACAACTGCTGCTGACCAGAAGCGAGATCCGTGCAGCTCTAGTTTCCATGGTGATAAACTGGGACTGGGCAAGGGGCTGTCCCCAGCCCTGCTTAGGAAAGTGCACAAAGATGTTAGTCAAAGTCAAACATCTGCTTTGTTGTTGTTGTTGCTGCTGCTGCTGCTGCTGCTGTTATTGTGATTGTTGTTTTGACAGAGTCTGTGTAGCCCAGGCTGGCCTCCAACTCACTGTGATCCTCTCGCCTCAGCCTCCTGAGCGCTGGGACTACAGGCGTGCACTGCCACACACGACTCCAAACTTTGCTTTGGGTCAAAGGACAGACGACGTTCATGGGACACAGAGGGAATCAAGGCCTCAAGAAGGTGCAAAAGAGGCCTCGCTATGAGTTCGAGGCCAACCTGGGCTACACGGTGAGCTCAAGGCCAGCCTGAACTGCATAGTGAGACGCTGCCTCAAAAAGCCCCCCCAAAAAAAAAAAAAAACAAGAGGGGGGAAAAGAGAATGTGGGTCTTGGGTCCTTGGCAAGAGGCACCACGAAATATCCAGTTCTTGGAGACAAAGCTGGACTCCAATCCCCTCTCTGTCCAGCAACTTAGCAAGTCAGTCCACGACCGTGCCTCAGGTCCCCAAAAGCAGTAGGGGGCCCTACAGGCAGCTGCCCCACAGCGCATCTGGACAGCCACGGAGGTCGCACCTGGTGGGCACCTGAAGCAGCAAGCTGGAGGCTGGGCAGCCACTGCTTCCGGGTTAATTCCCGGTGATCCTTGGACTCACGGGGGCCGCGGGCCTGGGCAGTCAGAGACAACTGCCCTAAGAGTCTCCCTGTCTTCTTCCCCTCCCCGGTGACCTGCTTCTCCCACACCAAATCCGGGCCTTTGGCACAAAGAGGGTTAGGCAGCTGCCCCAGGAGGCCTGGCCAGGTCGTGGCCCCTGGCCGGTGCCCGCCACACCCACCCTGGTGCCCAACCGGGGCCCCAGGTGCTTGGTGACTCGATCCCTCCAAATTCAGGTGATCTCCCCCAGCTCCAAGTCACCAAACCCTCCCGGGGCCCAGCGGCAGACACAGCCAGGCACCAACCAGGAAGGGCCTCCAAGCACCGGGCACCAGCGTCCCCGTCCCTGAGACCCGGCCTGCAGTGGAAGATGGTGCTGACCGGGTGCAGCTGGCTTGTCCTCGGTGGTGAGCGAGGAGGGTGGCACCCCAGGCCTTGGGGAGGCGAGGGGGACCCCAGCCCATGATGGGGAAGGTATGAGCCAGGAGGCCAGCATGCTGCGGAGGGAGGGCAGCACACTGACGCCGGAGAGGTGTGCAGGGCAGCTCTGGGGGCTCCTTCATGTGACAACCCGGTATTAGGGTACAGAAGCCCTGATCATCACCAGTCCTAGCCTGTATCCCCTCTACCCTGAAGACGGAGCTCCAGGCAGCTGCTGCCAATTCTCAGCCCTGGCTTACCTCTCTGTGAAGTGGGTAGAACCAATGGGTCCTTCGGTGGTCCTTGCAAGCAGCACTGATGAGGGCTGACTGCGGCCAGTTCCAAGTGCTGCTCCGGTGTTCACACCTCACCCATGCAAGGAACCCGCCGCCCCACTTCACAGATGGGAAAACTGTGACTCAGAGAGGTGACGTCACTGGCCAAGGCCACACAGCCAGAAAGTGGCAGGGCCTGTGCCAGACCAGAGCCTCTAATGCCAGCCACACTGGGAAGCACTGGAAACCAGGCCAGGCCTGTGAGTGCTTTTACGTGACACGGGCCACGGCCACACAGCCCCAGCAGCCACGCTGCCAGCCCCAGCAGCCCCAGCAGCTCCTGGGTTTGTGCTGCTCTGTACTTTGAGCAGGAAAGAGAGGGTTCCACGGCTCCTCTGAGGAGTCGGGTGGAGCTCAGAGGGCAGACAGGAGCCCTGCAAAGATGTCAGGATCCCGGGGAGACCCTGATGTCTGTCGTGGGGGTCACACAATTAGCAGTGCCAAGCCAGGCATGGTGGCTCACACCTGTAATCCTGCAGTCTGGGAGGCTGAGGCAGAAGGACTGCAAATATAAGGCCAGCCTGGGCCATGCAGTAAGATCTTGTGTCAAAAAATAGAAAAGGCTGAGCTGTAGCTTAGTGGGCGGATTCCCAGTACCTAAAAGCAAAGCTACCAGGAAAGGCTACGAGGCTGAGAGGTTGGGAGACAGAGCCGCAGGTGTGAAGCCTGCCTCACCCGACCTCGGGCCCCCTGAGCGCCTCAGGGGGGGACGTCCCCTCTGAGCCTGGTCAGCTCCTCCGTCCAGTGGGGAGTGGGCTGAGCCCGCCCCGTCCAACCCCCACCTCCTCTTCCTCAGCCGCATTCCTGAGTGCGGCCGCTGAGATCTCCATCACCCCCGAGCCTGCCCAGCTGGCCGAGGGGGACAACGTCACACTGCTTGTCCGAGGGCTCTCTGGGGAAGAGGTGGCCTACTGCTGGTACGCGGGGCCCACCATCAGCCTGTCCTACCTGGTGGCCAGCTACATCGTGAGCACGGGCGACGAGACCCCCGGCCCGGCCCACACAGGGCGGGAGGCTGTGCGCCCCGACGGCAGCCTGGACATCCAGGGCCTCCTGCCCGGGCATTCGGGCACCTACATCCTGCAGACACTCAACAGGCAGCTGCAGACTGAGGTGGGCTACGGACACGTGCAGGTCTATGGTGAGACATCCTGCTCCCCGCTCCTGCCCAGGTCTTCCCGCCTCCCTCCTGAGCCCTCTTTCAGGAAAACAAAATTCCAAATCAGGAAAAAAAGAAAGCGTAAAATAATACTGAAATGCTCACCTCCTTCAGGATGGCTTCCAGGATTACAGCTGCCTCCTAAAGCCGATCTCTGCCCCTCCGGCTAGCAGCACAGGGGCACCGTCCCAATGTGGCCACGCCCCTTCCTGGGGACCCCCAGGCCCTCCCAGCAGGTGGTGCCTGGCCCCCTCCCCGTCTGTCTCCCGCCCCACAGAGATCCTGGCGCAGCCCTCGGTCACCGCCGACAACACAGAGCTGGTGGAGAGGCGCGACACCCTGCGCCTGCGGTGCAGCAGCCCCAGCCCTGCGGAGGTCCGCTGGTTCTTCAATGGCAACGCCCTGCCGGTCGCCGTCCGCCTCGGCCTTTCCCCCGACGGCCGCACGCTGACCCGGCACGGCGTCCGCAGGGAGGAGGCGGGGGCCTATCAGTGCGAGGTGCGGAACCCGGTCAGTGTGAGCCGCAGCGACCCGCTCAACCTGACCGTGTACTGTGAGTGCTCCCGGCGCCGCCACACACCCCGGGCGACCCTCGCGGACAGGGAAACTGAGGCCAGGAGAGGGAGCCCAAAGGCTTGCAGCCAGTGAGCCGGCGGGCTGGTGTCAGGAACCACAGCTCCCTCTTAAATCCCCTGGGCCTGTCTATACCAGCCTGGTGGCATGGTGGGGGCCGCTCTAAACTCAACATCTGAGAGGTTGATGCTGGAGGGTCTTGAGTTCAAAACCAGGCTGGACTATACAGTGAGACCATCTCTCAGAAAACCAAAACAGTAGCAAAAGCCAGAGGGCGTGGCCCATGCCTGTAATCTCAGCACTTGGGAGGCTGAGGCAGGAGGATCATTGTGAGTTCCAGGCCAGCCTGGGCTACAAAGTGAGACCCTGTCTCAAGAAATAAAGCAAAATATGGAACTTTAACCTCACCTTTCACACTGGGTAGCCCTCCAGCCCAAAGCAGTCCCTGCAGAGAGAGGACACGGGAGTGGTGGGCCTTGAAAGGGAGCAGGGGACGGAATAGGGGGGAGCTGGGAGGGGTCCTCACCAAAAAATATAACCAAAGCTTGAAGTCATTCCCAGGGGCAGCCGCCGTGTGGAATCCTGGGAAAATAATCCCCTGAAGTACAAGAGGGCAACAATGTAGAAAAACCAAGAACCCAGAATCCTAGAGCCCTTCACACCAAGGTTTCCAGATTCCAGGAGCTCTGCATTCTAGACTCTGAGACTCTTAGACACTAGCAGCAGAGATGCTTAGAACTTCAGGATCTATTTAGATTCTTAGACTAGAATCTGAGCCACATAGATTTCTAGAACCTTAAAATGCTACTACCTAGAAGCATCTTGAAGCCTTAGAATCCTAGACTCTTAGAATGGTTTGTTGCGGGGGGGCGGGGGGGACCCCAGGCATAGCACACGCCTGTAATCCCAGCACTGGGGAGGCTGAGGCAGGAGGATCACTGTGAGTTCAAGGCCAGCCTGAACTGCAGAGTGAGACCCTGTCTCAAAAAAACAAACCGCTCCCACAAAAAAAGAAGAAAAATCCCTAAGAATTTTTCTTTATTTAAGAAAACATAGATTTGAAACCTACCTTGAAATGTGCTGGCCCCGCACACTTTTCGCAGAACACTGAGATCCCCTCCTAAGGGGAGGGGAGGTGATTCTCAAGACCCTAGATCAAGTTAGAGATGAGGTGGGACTGCAAAGGCCCGCGCCCTCTCTTCCCTCCAGGGGGCCAGGATGGTTCCCCCGAGAGGAAGTAGGGGACGCGGCTCTTCCCGCCCCTACTGCCCCCCCGTCTCTTCCTCCCGCCTCACAGTTGGCCCGGAGCGCGTGGCCATCCTGCAGGATTCCACCACCCGCACCGGCTGCACCATCAAAGTGGACTTCAACGCGTCCCTCACCCTGTGGTGTGTGTCCCGCTCCTGCCCGGAGCCTGAGTACATGTGGACCTTCAACGGGCGGGCCCTGGACAACGGCCGAGACCACCTCAACATCAGCGGCATGGCGGCCGCCCAGGAGGGCACGTACACCTGCATTGCTAAGAACCCCAAGACCCTGCTGTCCGGCTCTGCCTCGGTGGTGGTCAGGCTCTCCGGTGAGTGGGCCCCAGCCTGGCCGCCACCACCCCTCCCAGGGAGGTCCGGCTGGACAGTGACAGTGAGGCCAGCGGGTGCCCAACAGAGGATTGGAAAGTGGTGGGTCTCTGGCCCCTTTGTTGGCCAAGTACCAAAGTGGCCCTTTAAGCAGATGCAAAAGGAGACCACCTGTCAGGCGTAAATAAAAGGGCCAGTCAGACCCTCCTCCTTTGGGGCGCAGAGTGAGGGCAGGCACATGTCCCCCACAGTGGGGTGGCAGCGTGTGGGACCACACAGATGTCCCTCCGTGTGGGTGCCGGTGCAGCCTCCAGCAGCCTGGGCCTCACGCACCCATCCCTGCCACACGCTCTTCCCTGCCTCCTTGCTGCCGACCAGGCTGCGGTCACCCAGCAGAGCTGGAGTCTGGAGAGCACCGCGGGGAAGCCTTGTCTTCCTGCCTCTGTCCTAAAACGAGCCAGGGGCTGGCAGTGCAGACTGAGGCCGTTTAGAGCTCGGGGTGCTCAGGGGACGTGTGTCCATGCCCCGGGGACGGCGGCTTTGAGCGTTCAGGCCTCATTGATTCCACCTTGGTTCCTTCTGAATGCCATCACCCCCTGGGCACAGCGGGGACAGTCCCTCCCTCGCCCCTTCCCTCCCTCCCTCTTTCCCTCACACTCACAGGCTGGGTCTCATCCAGAGGGTGGATACTCTTTCACCCTGAGCGCGAGTGGCGGCCCCCCGAGGTAAGTGGACCTCCTGCTTGCCGCCTGGGGCCTTGGCGGCCTTCTTGGCGGGAACAGGGTGTGCACCAGACATGGCGGTGTCCAAGATGCACAGGTACGGCAGGGAGCGGGCGGACACCCCCCAAGGGCCTCCAGAAGTGTCAGAAGCCCTGTGGCAGGTGCCAGGAGAGAGACAGAGGAAAGAGACACCACCGCTTCCCACTGGGGGAGACACTGGTCCGATGGAGGGGACACGGTCCCTGCCCACGGAGCGATGGCCCCAGACCAGGGACGCGCACACCCTCCCCACGGGCCTCCTCCCTCGGACTCTCGGGGGGATGGGGGGGCGCGACATCCACGCTCACGGAGCTTCCAGTCAGAGGCAGGAGGCAGGAGGGCACAATTTCCATTCTGGTGGGGAGACAGGGCTTTGTTTTCTGGAAATTCCTGGTCTGATGGAGGAGACACGGTCACCATCTTTAGAGTACTCCCAAGCTGACGGGGGAGTGCAGGGCCCTAGTTTCGAGGAATTCCTAGTCTGATGAGAAAGATACGCTCAGCTAACTTGTGGGGTCCCCCGAAGATCCACCCAGTCATCTGCAATTCCCGGTCTGATGGAGGAGACAGCCCCCGTAGGAATTTCCAATCTGATGGAGGAGACACAAGCCGGTCCTCTAGTCTTCCCGTCTGCTGGCAGAAACACCCCCAAGGGCTGGAAATTCCTAGTCTGATAGGAGACACATCTCGGGCAGGCTCCATAGGGGCAGAGAAGACACCTCCACCGCCACACGTCCCGTCCGTCCTCTGTCTCCTCCCCAGCACCTGCGTGGGTTGTGCCAGCCAGCGGGTGCCCAGATGCGCCCGCCGGGGGTGGGGTGGGGCGGGGACCCACCCCGGGCTGCACAGGCCCCGCCGACCCGGCCCCGCTCTTTCCCCAGCGGCAGCCGTCTCCATGATGATCGTGCCGGTGCCGGCCAAGCCCATGGAGGGCCAAGACGTGACCCTGACGGTCCAGGGCTACCCGAGGGACCTGCTGGTCTACGCCTGGTACCGGGGGCCGGCCTCCGAGCCCAACCGGCTGCTCAGCCAGCTGCCGTCAGGGAACTGGATCGCGGGCCCGGCGCACACGGGCCGGGAGGTGGGCTTCGCCAACTGCTCGCTGCTGGTGCAGAAGCTGAACCTCACCGACGCCGGCCGCTACATGCTCAAGACCGTCACGCTGCAGGGCAAGACCGACACGCTGGAGCTCGAGCTGCAGGTGGCCCGTGAGTGCGCCCGGGCTGGGGCTGGGGCTCCCCTGTAGTGCCGGGTCCAGGGCCCACCCATCTCCTCCCTCCGCCCGGGGCCTCCTCAGCCAGACTCTTGCCTGTTTCATCAAACTGATAACCTGCACCGGGGTGCAGCGCCTCCACCACACGGAGGGCCACGAGGGGGGCTCCACGCCTTCTTGGTCTTCTGCCGTTTGGGGGACAGGTTAATGATAGGTGCTCAGCTCCCCAACCACGCGGGCCTGTTGACACTCAGAGAAGCGAGGGAGTGGGCCTCCTGTGTCACCCTTTCTCCTGGTGGGAAAGACGGGACAGCATTCCCATCATCAGACAGTGGAGTTTACCTCTCAAACTAAAGTAAGGATGATCTCCCTTAGGATGGAGGCTTCTAGGTATGGGATTTGTGTCTCCTGTGGACCAGACTGGGAGCTCTCAGATGTTGAGGACCACATCTCCTCCATCAGAAGGGGCTCCCAGGGTCAAGGACCAAGTCTCCTCCATCAGGGACCAGGTCTCCTCCATCAGAAGGG